ATTCTCTTCCTATCCTTATCCCAATTATTATTTGGGGTCGGCGTAATATGTTTTTACTTATATTACAAAAAGATTTGGCTTATAGTTTTACGAACGGCCGCCTGCCTGACGTCAAACCTCTTTGGGAATACATTTGTTGGTGGTTCCCGCCACCTACGATATGGAGGAAAGGATTGAGGGAAAAAAGAAGGAAGCTTTGGAAATGCGTAAATACTACTATACTATATAACAGCCATTATTCCAAATAAGGAGAGTTTTGCCAGTACATAGTCGCCACGCTTGGCAGGCGGAGTGGCAACTACAGTTAGGCTTTGGTAATGTTTTAAGAGAAATGCTGCTGCTCATCCCTCGACCATTAAGTTCCCTTAGTCGCCTTTTACGACACCCATGGAAAAAAGGGACTTTTACAACACCCACGGAAAAGAAAGCCTATTCTATGCCGGGGCTACATGACAGGTAGTTTATATCTCAGCGGAGGGTAGGCTATCTAAGTCATATGCTAACTCGGTCACTAGTTTCTTTTTATCGCGTCTCTTAAAGATCCCAAAAATGTAGATTGTAATCCAATATACCAGAAAGAAGACCGATTTGATAAACTGATAGGACCATATTAGTAAGATTAGCCAAATTTAGGCATTCAGACTGAGAAATCTAGGCAAGATTTGGCTAAATAAGAGAATGCATGTAGCCCTTGGCCCTTACGTGTGATAGACGATGACAGATTTGCCAGCAGCCTAAGTAGGCTATATAGCCTAAGGCGGCAAATATTAGGGGCGAATAATTTGGATTCAGAAAAAACACTCTTAGAAATAGAACCTAATAGCTCTATTGCTAGCAATATTTCTTTCGGCATCACGCAAAAACTATTCTACCAAACTGGATGCAGTTTGCACAATTGTATTCCTGAAAGTCTAACTTAAAATCTGGTGTATGTTTCAACTAGATTGGTCTATTTTCTTAGTTTTTCTACTCCTGAAATCTACGTATACGAAGTGGCGATTACAATTCTCTTGTAATCTTGAAACGTAGTCCAAATACGTCCTATCGCCCAGTAAGTTCCGGCCACAGTCTCGCCGCGTCGTAAAGTGCCTATTTCCGCGTCTACTTTATTACATTTACATGAGAAATGCATGCTATTTATGAAACCCTAATAACGGGTTGGAACTACCAGCGGCTGTGTTGGAACATTATAATTGTAGTTTACAATGTTGAAATTCTAGATATATCGTGTTGAACGGTGAGTTTATTGGCGATACAATGTAATAAAATACCTGAATATTTATAGATATTGAAAACAAGAGAGTATTCTAAAACTTTTCGTACTATTTTAGATTAGGTTGTTATTCGTTTTGTCCGAAAGTTATCCAGTGGCTACTCTGTACTGGTAAACGTAATGTAGGACGACCCCCTACTAGATGGAGTGACGGTCTCAAATGCGTTGCAGACAATCAATGGGGATTTTTTTAATGGGTGATAATGGAATGGTAACCTCATCCGCGCTATCGGTATATACCGGCGGGGCACCAGTGGAGGATGATACGTGAAGATGAAGTAGGTCGGTTAGCCCTTTATGACAAATTCAACAAGAATTGTTCACGATGGTTTCCAGGTTTCATATTGCTAGCAATGGGGCTATCAATCCCCATTTGCTAACAATCCCTTTCCCCCAGACAATGGATGTAGATGGCTCGAGACCGTTCCTTATGGAGGTATATGGGGAAGGACTATGTTCAGCAGTGGACAATCAAGGCCTGAAAGGATGATGCTGATGTCATTTGTTCTAGAACGATGTAGTTTTACCATCGGGAAAATGTATTACTTGTCTACTAGGATATTTGCGTCTCGTTCTTATCTCTGTTTGTTTCCAAAGGCACATGCCACTGAAATTACAGGGTATAGAGGTATAACATATTCCTCAGTATAGCAACGCTAGAACGCAAAAAAATTCTCGACTGCTACCTATCAAGTGATGGCTCCGCTGAAAATCAGCGCTGCAGCACTACGCTGCAGCTTAAGCTGAGTGGGGACCATTTTAGTTGCTACCACATAATTATTTTAATAAATAAAATTATCATGAATGTTTATATGTTTTGTAGCTGAATAAATAAATGATTTATTTGTTTTACTACAATGGTGGCAAACAAACATATGGTCTATCAGTTTGCAATTACCGATTCTATAAGCGCTTACGACTCTGGAGTTGTCACGTGCGATAAGGTACCTTATTAAACCCTTTTTTTGTGCAACTTTTTTTTTTTATTTTTTATACAAATATATTTTTTTAATGGATGACAATGTAATGGTAACCTCGCCTGAGCTAACGATATGCGCTGGCGGAGCACCAGTGAATGATGATAGGTGCGAATGAAAAGGCAGGTCAGTTGGCCCATCGTGATGAATACTAGCATTCAGCATCATAGTTTCCAGGGGGGACACGTGGAATTCGACCTGACAGAGTATTTTGCAAGCAATGGAACTGCTAGTCCGCATTACTAATAATCCCCCCCCCCAAACCATTGATTCATCTACATACATGTACGACTGTAGGTCCGTATTTTTGGCTCAACGTGTATCCTCAATGGCTTGACGGATATTAATAAATGGGGTATCGTTAAATTCGTCTTACTTGTGGGAGTGCTATACGCTACACGATGATAGCATGAAATAAATATGGCGGCCATAAAGTGTCAAAAAATAATTTTACTGGCCAGTTTTTTGTGGCTATCAAGACTGGGACAGAGGATGACCATTTTATCCGTTAACTTCCTTGACGTAAACCGACTAGAGCAACACGTGTGCGTTATTGATATGTATAAAAAAAATTGCAACTAAAAGATGTCTATCCATAGGAGATATTTGAAACAAAATTATATGATGAACCTTAATAAGAGTAATAGAAAATAAAAGAATATTTTTTAATCTTTTTTTTTTTTTAATGATTGACAATGGATTGGTAACCCCGCCTGCTCTAACGGTGTATGCTGGCGAGGCACCAGTAAGGGATGATAAGTCAAAATAAAAGAGCAGGTCAGTTTGCCCATCGTGATGAATCCACCTGGAATTTAGTATAATGGTTTCTTTTTCCCGTGGGGGGACCACGTGGAGATTGACCTGACAGGGTATATTGCTAACAATGGGGCCTTTAGTTCCCTTATTATCAATCCCTTCACCCCGTCATATGTGTTGGTATAGCTGTTTTTTGTAGGGAGAAAAATTGTTAGTAATGGGGACCTCCACGCGGTTCCCCCTAGAAACCATCGTGATTAATTATTGTCACATTCGCAATGGACCAACTGTCCTAACTTCATCCTCACCTATCATTCTTTACCGGTACCCCGCCAACGTTTACCGTTAGCGCAGCCGGTTTACCATTCCATTATTATCCAATAAAAAAAAAATATCATATGACAATTACACAAATAAGAATAGATAATTTATCAACCAATAAAGTTTTCACAAATACAAGTGAAGGAAATACACAAAAAGAAACAATACTATTTAAAACTGCATTATAACGCTATTTCTGTATACTCATAGACAAGCAGATGTTTATAGACATTTTATGACGAAGAAAAAAAAATTAAGAAAATAAAAATAGATTTAGATTTAGTAAAATTTTTGGTAATCTATGATTTGTATGAAAATTAATATAACTAATATATAAGTATGTGTACAAGTTGTCTGAGGAACTTGACAAATGTATTGTATATTTTTCAATGGTTGATAATGAAATGGTAAACCCGCCTGCGTTAACGGTATACGCTGGCGGGGCACCAGTGAAGGATGATTGGTGAGGATGAAAGGGCAGGTTAGTTAGCCCTCCATGATGAATATACCTGGAATTCAGCACGATGATTTCCAGGTCGTCGTCCACGTGGAGGTCTACCTGATAAGGTATATTGCTAGCAATGGGAGTGATAGTCTGCATTATTAACAATCCCTTCCCCCCAATGTATTGTATTTAGATAGAATATGGGCGTTAATTTTAAATATAGTGTAGTCTATCTAAAAACTGAACTCACGTTTAAAATAATAGGTAATAGATTTGAAATTCTAATCCACATCTTTATTTTGTAGATTGTGGACAAAACTGGTAAATTGGAGAGTTTCTTTTACCTTATACATTTATCATTTATATTTTTTTGTATTAAAACTATAAACAGGATTAGAAAAAAATATTTGCGGCCGTCCAGTATTCTATTTTAATATTGTGCGAATTACGAAAATAAAAGCCATTATAACATACCTAACTATCTAGGACGGTTTCAAGAGTAATACTATAAATTTAATTGACCTCAAACTTTCGCACACAAATCGTCGCGGGTGTCCCATGACGTCACAACGCGTGGACACCGCCAATGGGGTTATTGACATGTCAAACTATTTCTGTGGCGCCAAAATAAAAGCGCGAACGGGAGGAGGCAGTCCATAGACAACAATCGTTGATTTCATCACTTAACCATGCATCCAAAGATAATAATCAGATGAAAACAATAAATTGAAGCGTCGGCTTGTGGCCTGGGACGGTCTCGAGTTACGTTTTGAGCAAAGGAACGTCTAAAATTACCCGCACGCACACATGTATAGCGCGGGTGTAGTTACGCACGCAGACATCACCACTGCCTATATCTATTATCAAAACATCCAGCGACTCTGGTTACAGCGATCCGAGCGCGCTTCAGGTATCGCATTACACACTTTAATGGCTGGAAAATGCCTCGAAAATGTGATATTACACGCGTTTTATTGTGTATCGCAAAATGTAATTAATATTGTAACCGTATACGGAATAATTTATTCGCCGTAAAACCGTGTTTAGCATTTGTGGAGGCCCCTCGTGACGAACAAAATATCGAATTTAAAAATACGACTCCGTCGTATCCTATTACGAGACAAGATGAAACAGGACGGTTGCCAATAACACGAAGCCGTAACATGATGATGGTATCCCAACGGAAATTCACATCAATGTCGGATAAAAGTCTGAAATTAAATCTCACCTTGATTTCTTCTTCATTCTCCTTTTTCACTTGGGGTTTTGGCGGCGAGGACGAACTTGCTGGAATTTTGTTGTCCATAGTTGAAACAGTACACAAAGTTCATATAAACACAATTATAGTTATAATAAAATAATTAAAGTACAGTTTTTTAACTTTTCTTATTGTATTAAAATTAAGTTCGCCGTGCGCGTAAACATTTTTGACGTATACATTACGAATATTAGAATAGACGTCATTCAAACGCGGCGTCTACAACGCGACTGATCGTCAATGTATCGTATTCGCGTAGCAAGGCAATGCCGATCGCTCACGCGTAGAGATGGGCAATCCACCTGGGTGGGTTTAAAGTCTGGTGGGTAAAAACCGGGTGTTTTGGGTTTATTGGGTTTAAACCCCATAAACACCCAAATTTTTGGGTGTTTATGATTTTGTACTTCATCATCGTCATCTCAGCCGCAAGACGTCCACTATACTGGACATAGACAATATTATTATGCAGCCTACAGAATAAAAACTTTTAATTTGATTTTGAGTTTATTAAGAAAGAGATGAAAGTAAAATGTAAAACTACAGTCAATCACTGTCAGATTCAGAGTTATTACAAGCGATGAATTGTATAGGTTCGATAGGCTCTATTTCGTCTAAACTGTTATGTTCATTTACTTGCTCAATGAAAGCTTCTAAGGTATTTTCTTCATTAAACTGAATGTCCTCGCATTCAGCTTTATGTTTAAGATTCCAGTTATAACAAATGAATGAAATTTTTTCAGTTCTTTCAGTTGTAAGTCGATTTCTTTTGTTATTATGTATGTAGCCTTGGATACTAAAGGAACGCTCAGTGGCTGCCGAAGTACAGGGAGCTGATAGAATACGAATCGCTACTTTGCTTAACTCAGTGGAACCACAAATACCTTTCCACCATATTAGGGGCTCAATGCTATCTAATGAGCTCCATACAAATCCTCTGGCCCAAAAGTTTTCTTTAGCTTTATAACACGCCAAATCTGCCATTACATTTGACAAACTTAAGTGTTGGCTTAAATTGTAGATAAACTCCATACCCTTAAGTTCTTCCTCTTGAGTAAGTTCGACTCCTAGAGTCCTGGGGTCTAGAATATATGCTGCAAAATGTATTGGCCTCATTGCCATATTGCATCTTGAAGATACTGATGTTAGAATCTGCTGTTTGCTTTCTTCGCTCAATGTCGAAATCTCATTTAATGCAAAACGTATCTTAGCTTGTACATCTCTAAATGTAATGTATGTGCGATGCAAACGATTCTGGTCGCTCTCTAAGTAAAATATGCTTTCAGTGACTGGTTCCAAAATACTTATACATTCCCCTGTCTTCGTCCAGAAATCATCACTTAGAATTAAATCTTTAATATCTCTTGAAATTACCACATCTTCTCTAACTGTTAATATTTGCAAAGCTATCTTATTTGCTTTCAAACTTTTTAACGAAGTAACATGACTTCCCCATCTTGTAGCACAAGGCAATTTTAGTGTTTGTGTAGAATCTTCACCCTGCCTTGATTTTATCAACAAGGAACTTAATCGTTGACTCCTTTTAACAGTTTTTATTATATTTATGGCTTGCATAATAAACACAGTTACTTCTTGTATCTTTACAATATCTTGGCACAACAAGTTAAGGATACCGAGCACAGCAACCGAGAGGAACAACATGTGGATATTTGAGTTTTGTTAATTCGAATGCCTTTTGTATATTTCTAGCGTTATCGCCAATAAGTACAAGAAACTTATTTGCTCCATACACTTTCATTACTTTTTCAACTTCTTGGCTAAGGTATTCACTAGTGTGAGGATTACTTTCTGTATTCAAACTTTTAACGTATGCAGGTTGAGGTTTTGATATAAGAAAGTTTATTATTCCTTCATTTCTTAAATTAGACCAGCCATCGCACTGAAGGTGTAAGTAACTACAAGCATTTAGTTCCTCATTTAACTCAAAACGCATTTCTCTATATATTTTATCTAAGTATTTTGTCGCTAAAGCTTTACGTGAAGGTATTTTAAATTTTGGTTGCAATTTTTCGAAAAATTGTATCCATAAAGGATGTTGCACCATCGATAATGGCGTCCCTGTTACAAATATAGCTCTCGCTAATTCTGTTTTTATATGATCATCGGTGTCTTGAAACTCAGCATTTATTGTAGTGTTAGCAGACGACGAGGGGCTTATAAAAGAATCATTTGTCTCTATCTCTGACAGTCCAGACATTTTGGTTTTGGACGAGCTATCTTTTATAAGTTTCATAGAGTCTTTTAATGTTTCTGGAGATTTTGGACAAGTGATAAGATGTTGAAGCATTTTGGCAGCATTACTGAATTTGTAGACCTTATTACAAAGCTTGCAAGAAACAGACTTGTTTGGTAAAGTACGGTAGTGCTCCCATATGCGTAAATCTTTAGGTCTCCCCATTGAACCTAAAAAAATGAACGATGATTAGTTGGTCTGACGAAAATTCAACAATAGAGTGCCTATTTTTTTACAATGATTATTTCTTGTTATTTACAATAAATTTACTAAAAAAAAAAATAAAATAAATACAAAAAACCTTTGTAAAATTACATCTCCTCGGAGGATTAAACGCAGACGCTAGTTTATTATCGTATTGTTCTGTATTTTTCTCAGCAACTTCTTTAATTCGATTAGGTACTTACGCATATTATGTTAAAAATAAATATCTAGTACACATCTTAGGCTATCCACCATTATTATCCAATGACGACTCTCAGCTAACTATGCACTATCATCCAAAATAAACGTGTATGGAAAATTTTATCCCAGTCGGTTGAGGATTGAGGATAATTGCATCAACATACGAACATACCTACATACTTTTATTTACATAACGCAAGCTAAATAAAAGCTTGTAATAATACATCTAATTTTAAGTTAAAATTGTTAAGTGATCATGATATAATTGTATCATTCAAAAATCCACTTACCTTTAATTATTTCTTGTTAAGTATAAATATTATTTCAAATCTGCTCCCTTAATATGCACTTTTTTACTGCTTTTCCTACCTAACACGTTACCAGGAAGTCACGTTACCAGAGTCAGAGTAATAGTGAACACGTTTGACAGTGATTGTCGTCGCCTCATATTCAGCGTCGACGAATAGGGGAATCCCCAGTCATAATGTATTGCATGCGTGGCGGTCTTACTTCAAATCCATAAACAAAGAGATAATTACAGAACTCGATACTAGATGGCGCTGTTTTTGTTTGAAGAAAGTTTGCGGGCTAAAATACATAGAATTTCATCAATGACTTCCACAAAGAACAACATTTCTGTTTTTTCTAAGTCCGTATCTCTTCCGTATATTTCATAAGATATAAGCTTGGGCTACATTGTTATGCAACGTGATTTTGTCGCTGTCTTGCTAGCAGGGTTGACAGATATACGATTTAAATCGTACTCATACTATTATTTGTCTATTTTTTAATGTACGATCGTAAAGATTATGATCGTAATTCGCACAAAAACATACGACTTTTTGGTTACCTGGCAACATTTTTATTATGAAACGAACATGCTCACATCATCAGTCACATGCAACAATTTATTGGGGATTTCCCCTTCACATCTGGCAGTCCTGCTTGCTAGAATATAGGTAAGTCAGCCACAGTTACTGACGATCGATATTTAAAGGGTATTGTTTTTGTGCTAAATATTTCATAAAAACGTTATTTAATACTTTGTGGATTATTAATTTAGTTGATAATCACTGGAAGTAAAATGGATGCTAATTTGAGAGATCAAGATCTTCGTATAAAACAGTTAATAAAAGAAAATCTACGTAAGTACTCTTTTTATACCTAGGTAGGTAAGGTATAATAAACACAAAAGGTACTTAGATCGCGTGTGTTCGAAGCATTTATTCTAATAAATTTAATTTAAAATTGTAGAAAGAAAAAAATGTCTGCCAAGCCGTAGCCGAAGCCGATCTCCAAATATATTTGGCGATAGTGAGACCCAGTGTCCAGATGATTTACCCAGCGTCGTCGCAACAAAGAAAAAAACGAGGATAAAGTAAAAGAAAATTTACTGAAAGAAGAAACAAACTGTTCTAAATGCTTAATTTATGGAGAAGAGGATAAAAGAAATGAGTATTTCGGACTGTTAGTGGCTCAAGAATTTAAATATATACGGCCATGTGTGCGAACGAGGTGTTATGAAGAAATTTTAAAGTATCTACGGGAAGCAAAAGGCCAACATGTTGATCAACTGCAACATGAAAACACTGAAAATTAATTACTTTCATTTTATTATATATAGATTTTTAAAATTTCCTGAAATATTATTAGTTAACGTTTTATTTAATATTGTAGAATTGATCAATACAATTTATAAAAATAATTTATTGGTATTACTTACATATTTTCAAAAAAATACGTAAAAACCTATTTTTTTGGGTGATTATGGGAGTTTATGGGTGTTTATTGGGTTTTTACCAAAGCACCGGGTTTAAACCCGGTGCTTTGCCCATCTGTACTCACGCGCGCTTCTTGCTTCGTAGACACATCTAGTCCTATCGTTTTCCGCTGAAGATAGGGCATTACACTAACGGTAACATGAATACGTAGAATAATGTTGTAATTCTTATAAGTATTTTTTATACATATAGCGATTTATGAAGACGACCGAGCAATACTTTCTTTATACAGCTCTATGAAAAATATTTCCGCGTCTGTAGAGGTCCTGTAGCGATGGGCGGAGTTTTGTAGAGAGAACTTGAAGTTTCGTAGACAAGCAATCGTAGAGCCATTATTTAGAGCACATTTTGGAACGCCCATTAAATGAAGGATAAGTAAGCTGAAGTGGCAATGGGCTGGTCACATAGTTCGAAGAACCGACAACCGATGGGGAAGAAAGTTTCTTGAGTGGCGACCGCGTACGGGCAAACGTAGTGTAGGACGACCTCCCCACTGGAGAGAGAGTGACGACCTAAAATGCATTGCAGGGAGTCAGTGGATGCAGGTGGCTCAGGACCGTTCTTTATAGCAGTCTATGGGGGAGGCTTATGTACAGCAGTGGACGAATAATGGCTGAAATGATGATGATGATAATGATTAAATTATTGAGGTCTATTTTTAATTTTTAACTTTAGTTATGAATCAATAACAAATTTCGAGAAAGTAATTTTACCTAAAATTTCAAAGAATTTTCCCGTAATAAGAATCTAATTACAAAATTCCATGTGATATCAAATTTATATTTTTTTTTTTTCTGAGAATTTATTATACGACCGATAGTAAATGATCAGATTCAGATTGTTTATTTGCATTAAACATGATTACATATCTAATGTCCAGTTATGTATACTTAAAGCTACATGCTTCACCAAAATGCTGGTATGTAAAATTTATTGAAATACCATAACCTAATCATTTTGTACATAACAGAGCTATATCAAAAGTAAATAATTATCACCAGTGTAAATTAAATATCTATTATTAATATTATTATTTAGATAGATAAGAAATAGGTAATACAAAATAACAGTAATATAATAAAAAAAAAAAATACCAGAGGGTGACTTTGTACAAAAGTCGTTTGCTTGGGCACGGTAGAAACAGGAATGGGGCTCTGTACCATTCGTGTTTCTACCGTGAAGCAGTTGTGTTTGCATGGCTGTGTTTCGGTTTGAAGGGTAGCATATGGTAATGAAAATACAGGGTACAGAGGAATAACACCTGAGTCCTCAGGAATGGCAACGCATGAGGGGTATCATGGGCGAAACAGTATACTCTGTTATGTCCATGGTACTGCTCATGTCAATAGGCGACAGTTATCACTTTCCATCAGGTGGACCGTCAGCTTGTTTGCCATTCTGAGTTGCATAAAAAAATGCAATTGATAAATTGTTACCTTAGATTGTTATATACACATACTACTTCAATATATATTCTTGTTAATTGCTATTATGGTTCAGATATCTTGTAGAAAATACATCCATGGGTATGTTCAGCAACTTTTTTTTAATGGATGATAATGGTATGGTAACCCCGTCTGCGCTAACGGTATACACTGATGGGGGACCAGTGAGGGATGATAGGTAAGAATAAAAGCAGGTCAGTTGGCCCATCGTGACAAATTCAACGAGAATTATTAACGATGGATTCCAAGGTATCCGCGTGGAGGTTGACCTGATAGGGTATATTGCTAGCAATGGAACTATTAGACTCTGACAATACACTCATTATTATATATAGTTTCTTTCATACTTGTGCTTCTATTACTTGCATACACCCACTCTAACTCGCCTACCTCGCTTTGGAATTATAATTTTTGTTCGTATAAATAAAATCCGTTATTGGCTGTATTCATAAGAGACCTAGCATGTTAGTTATTTTTTAAGAGCTGTGGGTTTTTGTATAAAATAAAAAAATATATAAGTATTATTATATTTTTTTTTATTTTAGTATTTGACCCTGTTACCCTTTCCACTCTACTCAGCTACTAGCTACTGTTGTAAGATAAGGAAAGAGATTGTTAGTTATTAAGTGAAACAGCTCCATCACTAGCAATATGGGTATACTGCTATCAGTTCAACCTCCATGCGGTTTCTCTAGAAATCATCGTGATTAATTCTTAATGAATTCGTCAGGCTGGACAAACTACCTGCTTTCATCCTATCCTCCCTTACTGACACCCTGCCAGTGCCAATACCAACAGAACAGACAATGTTTAGTTTATTTGTAATATTTTTTAATACTTTCGCAACACTATATACTTGCATTACCACAATACACACACATATTTATCGGTCCCTGTAAATGCATAACTACGGGGTTGTATAGAAACTCCTGCCCTCTAGTGCATACGCCGCGCAACTTGAGTATAATATTGCGCGGGAGATCCAACACGCCGACTTGCACTGTTTTTAGAAATTTATACAAATATTTGCAAATCATCGGTTTATTTGGGGTGAGTCTAGAAATAATTTATTATTTATTTATTTTCTATACATTTATAAAAAAAAAACCTAGTGGGAGTGGGTAATATATTGTATAATGTGCAGTAGTTCTCTATTGTATGTGTTGTAATTTTTTTCACCGCATAATAAAATTTCTGTTTTGCCAAAGGTTGACTGGGAGAGAATGCTATATAGTATTAAATCCGCCTTTTGCACCAGACATTTTTTTGTAATGTGGTCAATAAAGAATAAATAAATAAAAATATCTGTCTATTGTAATTATAGTATTTATACACGGCATCGTAATTTTTTTAACAGAGAGGGCAAACGAGCATGTGGCTCCTTTGATAAGTAACTACTAACGCCCATGAACACACATTGCCGGTCTTTTAAATAGGAATAATAATATGCTCTTTTCTTGTAGATTATGATGTCGTATCGGTTCGAAAATACCACTGTTGGAGGAATATATTGAATATCAATTATGCAATATATAATATTTGGCCAAAGAACCCGATTAAAATGAATATACTTAGATATCCAATTGATATGGGTGGTATCGAATTGGATGATGATTTTTTCAGTTATCAATATCCAGAGTGACCCAATATTAGGGTTGTTAGTAAATGGGGATATTACTTCCCATTACTAGCAATGTATCCTGTCAGATTGTACTTCCACGCGATCCCTTTTAGAAACTGATTAGTATATAATGTAGCAACCTTGTTATATCACCCTTCGCTTGTCTCTTCCATTGTATCCCGTTAGCATACGCGGGTGCACCATTTCATCTTAATTCATAAAAAATGACATTTATGTAGAAAAAAATTATTCCGTACAGCAGTTCCTTAGGAGCGCCGAGATCTATGGGGTGCCAAGTGCTATGCATCAATAAAGGGCCGCATCAAATTCTACGAGGGTACTTTTTACTAAATAGCGGGCCTTTAATTTTTGAAGAATTTATCACGATCTGCCATCTGGCCAACTTTCATTTTCATCTATCATTCTTCACTAGCGTCCCACCAAGAATACAATATCGGAAACAGATTATTATTTTATTATCATTCATTAAAGATACTCATGTGTGGGGGAAAAAAGATTGTTAGTAAAGGGATTAGGAGCTTCATTCCTAGCAATATAAATTGTCAGATCGCCCTCCTCGCGGCTACTAACTTACTTGGTAGGTACGATATTCACATATACCTGTATCTATGGCGTTAACAAATATTTCATCGAAAAATGACATTGAGACTGACACAGATTGACGTTACTCTGCGAGTATCAGTCAGTCAATAGCTTAAAATGTCAAAAACAGATGATTGCAATCGCAAACTGTTTCTAATTATTTCTCTTCACAAAGCTTCAAGAAAATATGTAAATTAAAAATTAAGACATATAATTTGAAGTTTGAATTTAATAAAGTGATGCTTCTGTAGATATATAATAATAACAATAACGTACTCATATCTGTGTACATTTAAAATACATTGTATTTTTGTGTACTATATTTTGCCCGGTAATTTTAACTACCATGTCTAAACTTTCCAAAACGACTTTGAGTTTGAAGCAGGTAAGTGGTATTAGGGCATTAACGATATATTATGTGAGCTTTATATAACTTATTTAAAAGTGATCTTTGTATTGATTGCCATATTATTGTATAACATTTGGAAAATAATTTTCTTTACAGTTTATGCTACGCCAGGAAGTGTTAAAACTCTATAGAGACATATTCCGGACTTTAAGATTAGTGACAGATGATACGACACGAAATGAACTGAAGGAGTGGGCAAGAGCAGACTTTCGTAATAATATGCACCATACAGATGAAACAACCATTAAAGCTAGGTTGTACTATGGCAAGAAATCACTTAAGGATTTACAACATTCACTAGCATTGAGTAGAAGCTAGCACATATACATAATAGCAAATATTAGGAATAAAATTATGTATTATTAAGTATTTTGTATAAATTTATTAAGATTTGAACAATGTTTGTTAGATACATAAATTATTGATATTAGTGTTAATAAAATAGGCAGTTGTATAGAATTGTATTTTTTATATATTTGATATTTAATGATTATTGACAAATAAGTAACTAAAAATAATTTAAAATACAAAAACAGCCTTATTATTGGATACTCTAGAGAACAAAATTATGTACATTATTATAACAGAACTATAAATCTGCAGACACAGTTTTATACAATTTTGTACAATATTTTATAATGCAAGAATAATTGGTTGTACCAATTACTTGAAATTCAAAACAGCCCCCACAGACAAGTGTATTAATGTTGCTATCTCATATATGCAGTAACAAAAAATGCTATTAATTTTATTTCTTAATTGTTTAAGAGGACAGAATGCCTAATTGTTTGAATGATAATGATCCAAATATTGATAAGGGTAAATTAAAGATTAAAATTTTGATTTCATTTTTTGCTGTGATATATACAAAATTCCATTATTTATTTACATATCAAACTATACTTTTAAACTTATCACAAAACACTCAATATGAACCTACATTGCAGGTTTACTTAGTATTAGCAATACTATATAACTATATCATATACAATATATTACATTCAATTATCTACATAAATGGCTTTATAGAATAAATAAATTAAAATAGGTATTGTCACTCCTGTTCCTACGACTACAGTAAAAACTGTGAAAAATTTAATAAAATCCCCATTTTTATTCAAATATTTGGCTAAAATCTGAATTAAGTTTCTTGCTATATGATGCCCATCAGTACCATAACAAGGAATAATATTTATAAAGCCTATCCCCATGGAAAAAATGAAAATATATCTTAATAATTTTTCAAACTGAGATGGAGAAAAAAATGAAAATAAAGCTACTCTTGGAAAATATTGATCTATAAACACAGTTTTGTGCAAATCATATGGCAAACCCAAGTACAATACCGCATTGTTGTCCTTTCTTTCAACTATAACTAAATAAGTATGATTATTCATTGATGGTTTTAAACAATGCATGTTCCTTGGACATGCAAACCCACTTGGTTCTGTACATTTAATGAAATTATTCTTAATCATATCTCTAGGTTTCAAACATGAGTACTGACCTGGCAACACTGAATCTGCCCCTACTTTAGGTTCCATATATTCAAAACAAAAATTGAACAAGTCATCCTTTCTACAGCATTCCACAACATCATTCTCTTTTATTGTTTCCATCATAATTTCATCATTTTGAGCTATGAATTCAGCACTAGTACAAATTCCGAACCTGTCATGAGCCATGTGAAGGCAATGAGTCCAATCATTGGAATTCTTTACTTCACATCCATTAATTGATGTTACAACATCCTCTTTGTCTAGGCCTCTGACATTTTTTAATGGAGAATCATCAGTAAAATCTGTGACTCTTACTCCAATACCAGTTTCATAAGCCATATTGAAAAGAATTGGTGCCGAGAAGAACAACAATAGAGCTATAAAAGCAGTGGCAACATTATGCCAGACTCCTGCACAATATATTTTGAGTCGTTTAGTGATGGTAAGACTATTCAAGTGCTCTGAGTTAAGTTGCACAAATGCTACTGGGATTATAGTAAAAACAAACAGCCCCACTGATATTAATTGCACATCTTCCTGTGCTGCAGCCATTGCATGGCCTAGTTCATGAATTATACTGCTTACTCCTATAGCAAGGAAGTACACCCAAAAGTCAGAAGCAGGTATGTTTACTCCTGGCAATACAGCTTTAACTTCAGGAACATTATTGAACTGAATTGTTTCATAGAAATGTTCAAATATGAAAGATAAAATGGTCCATATTGAAAATGGTAGAAATACCCACACGCTGAATAAATATCCACAGGTAAACCACTTCTTTAGAATACGCGATAAGTTTTTACTCCATCGGTAAATAAACCTGTTAAAAGCAGTGGTTGTCCACGTGAAATTTAATATTCCAACTTTGAGTCCAGTTCCTTCCAAAAATGCATAATAAGGATAATGCATACAACTCTGAAAAATAGAAAATAAGTCAGTCCTTTTATTATAAATAAAAGGATTAAGTAAAGCAAAACATGACACTGAAAACATACCTTGAAGAAAGAATCAAAGAACCAAATGACGACGTAAAATGCTAAGACAAATGAACATAATATTGTGAATGACATTTTTTATATAATCTCATACCACTTTACTACTTATAATCCAACATTTTTGTTGTAATATCACAAAAAAATCAAAATCGGTGCTTGTTATTATTATACCGGGTGAATCGATAGTATAATTGAAGAAAAATTAAAAACAAACTTTGACAATGACAGACGTCCTGTTGTTACCAACATAGATTATAAATGTGCCGGGTTGCCAAATCGTGAAAGTTCAAATTACCCGAAAAAATCATACACTATTCTAAATCTATCAGATATCTACAACGAAAGATGCATTTATTATTCAATAGTATACATAAGTTAGTAGTCTACTATTTACAAAATGTTGTGTCTCCACTAGGAGTGTAGACAGAATTTGATTAGTCGGGCTGTCTTTTTTATAATACTACGGAGAGCAGTTTTAACAGAGCGCACCATCCGCTTCTAACAACCTGACGATGATCAAATACCAGTCAATATCTCTGGTATTTCTGAATCTAGTTAGTTCATCCTTGTCCAAGGACGCCACACACAATTTGAGCTTACAGTCGGCTCCTTTAAAAGTGGAGTTTGTTATCTTTTCAAGTGTGTACATTACAAATTATTCATTGTTTGTCAATGACAATTGACGACAGTAACATTTAAGAGCGCAAGTGCAGTAGTGAGTTGCTAGATATTAGGGACAGGTTTATTTATTTTTAGTTATTTTAATTTTTTTTAGTCTTTATACTATTGTTTTTTATCGACGTCATGTGGTTTTCATAGTACTGTCAACTGTCAGTTGTGACAGAATGATTGCATTGACTTTGATAGTTGCATGGCAATTCATAATTTTATGATTTTTGTTCGATTCTCTCTTATATTCGTTATTGTCCAATTTCCTAGTGTTTAGTACAACCTTAACGCTTGATAATTTGCGTTTAAACTGAACAAAGCGGAAAAACGAATTTGTGACACTTTATAAATTATTTTAACATGTGAGTGATGAGTTGTACGGAAAATGAAAGTGGCCCTTTTGTCGTATTTTTCTTACCAGCGGTGGTCGGCTGCTTGACTATACTCTTGGCGAGGCGGTGGGCAAACTGTCAAGTTAGCGGTACTTCGTCAACGGCCATCTCCAGGCGGAGAAAAATTATTAAAGATCCGCTTGTTAAACGGCCTTTGCCGCCTATTGCCACTAAAATGATCCCGCCAGGTTCTAAAAAAGCCGCCGGGGTTGCTAAAAAGGTAAGTCCCTCTTCAGCTCTACAGATTCATAATCTTTAAAAAATTCGTAAAATTGAAATATTTATTACTTAAATTAAATTTGTGTCTGTCGAAAAATCTTAATGTTGGGGTGGGGGATTGTTTGTGCTGACTAATGCGGCTGTTATTGCGGACCACTAGTCCCAATGCTAGCAATATATTCTGTCATGTCTTCCATGTGGTCCCTCCTGGAAACCATTATGCTGAATTCCAGCTCATCAGGTCACATCATCCCTTATTAGGGCCCTGTTAGCATATACCGTTAGTGCAAGTGGAGTTACCATTCCATTATCATCCATTAAAAAAATAATCTTTAAATAATGTCATTAGTATTTTTTAAATCAAGTAATAAGGAACTGCCCGTAACAGTATCCAATGACTGAAATGTCATTTCATATTTCCTTCATAAGATAACATAAATGTGAATGATTACATCACCCATAGAAGTAGCATATTATTTAAAAAAATGGATTGTTATAATTAAAAAAATTGAATTATTTCAGCCAACAGTCCCACTACCTGAAGAAGAAATTAACGGTGGCAAGCGTGTAGGCCGTACAGCACGTGTTGCACCGTCCACCTCGCCGACGGCTACTGTGAATGACTTCAAACTAGCAGATGGACCAATGCCTCCTAAACATATCCCGTTTCCATACATACCGCAAGACGGAACACTGTTGTTTGAAGCCATGACATTTATATTCACACTGACTGCCATGGGATTGCAGTTCTTGAATTTGTACAGAACTGCATGGTGGCTACCACACTCTTATACCAATCAGGCGATGGTGAGATTTGTCAAATTGTTATGTCTTTTATCTATACTAATATTATAAAGAAGATAGATTTCATTGTTTGTTTGTAAAAAACTCAAAAATTACTCAACCAATTTTAAAAAAAATTTTTCCTTTATAGAAAACTACATTATTAGCAAGTAACATAGGATATACTCTATATCTTTTCTAATATTCTTCTATGTACCCATGCAAAGCTAGGGTAGCTATATAGCTAATTTTATATAAATGTGTATATGTAATGTTTCAGTCCTTTTTGGCAAAATAACAACACTTTGTAAAACATTTTTTTCATATTTTTATCTCTTTTAACAAATAGAATACTTAATTAATAATTTTGATTTTTATATATTTTCCATTATAATGAATGTTTAATGATTTATATTAATCTACTAATGGTTTATGTTAGGATTTTAAATCTATATTTTTAACTGACAAATAAATAAGAATTATTTGTTGAAATTGATTTATTATTTGATTAGATAAGATTGTTGTCTTTGCCTAAATCAGTTTGTTTCTTAATTTAATTACTTCATTATAATTTTTATATTAGCCTTTAAATATTTACTGCTAAATATAGGCCTCCCCCATATATATAGGTTTTGCCAGTAATTGCCACATTTGGCAGGTTCATTGGCAGTTAGACTTTGGTAATGTTTTAAGAGGCTGCTGCCCATCCCTCAACCATTAATTTATAAAACAAAACAACATTTTTTGTTTCAGAACTTCTATTTGATTGATCCACATCTGGTAGCATTCATAGTGACAATAATTTTTAGAAGCCTTCTACTTAATATAACTTTGGCTGTGTTGAAATATATACTCGCACCCAAATTGATGCCACATGCCATAATTGCTGCCAGGTTAGCATTTTAAATTATCTTTTTATAGGTTTGAAATATTATAAAATATATTTTTTTATTAAATGGAGTTTCTCTGACAGTCATTCTTTCATGTAAATGTTTTCTTTGTCTGGTAAATTTTTCCATTTTTCTTTTCATAAGAATCTCCCTCAGACTCCAATGAATATTTAAAAAAAGAAATAACTGAATTAGTCTAACCATTCTTGAGTATTGCACATAGGAACACATTTATAGATTTGTGTAAATTTGTCTTAATACAGTTATTGTAATAATGATGAAATTATGAGATTTACTGTTTATAAAATACCAAAAGATTTTTGCAAGATGCTATAATAAACACAGACAGGTATTCATTTTAAAAATAGCAAATTTTGGTTTATTCCTTCTCTAGATGGCCTAGTTAATTCCTGTGAAAGAACTCCAATGTTCTGTGCATTACTTACGATTTTGTTATAGTACTACTTAATGCCTGCGACTTCGCCTGCATGGTATTTATTCCTTTCATTAATATTTTTAACTTTATTGTAGTGAACTATGTCTGGAAATGCTGGACCAAAATTGACAAATGACGTCTCGTTTTCACTCTTAGCCTTAGATCAAAATTACTTAAGTAGATTGTGTACTAAGCTGTACACAATCACTACATTTAACTGTAAACAATTACTACATTTTTTAACTATCCCATGGGATCATTTTAATTTTCCTTGATTAAAAGTATCTGTTGACTAGGGATGTAAGGCCATCTAGAATGCCAATGCCCATCACCACCATGCAAAATTTAATTTAAATTTGTACAACAGTTTCGGAGATTGGTCCGTGCAAACAGACAAACAGAGAACTCTACAGTTTTATTATATGTATAGATTGATTAAATTATTCTATGTATAACATTTGTATATTGTGTTTCAAAAAATGTATACATAATAGTATGTAAATATCCACAGGATGTTCATTTTGGGTGTCATACTCGGGGCACTGGCTTGGTGTTCCTACTTTATAATGCTCAAGTATCCACTATTGAAAATTTTCTTCCTGTGTTACCCGTAAGTATGCTTGTTTAATTTTTTTTATATTCATAGATATTTAATACAGTGAAAATTCTATGGAAATTGAAGAGACTAAGTATTTAATTGTGTTATAAAGAGTTTTCGTTAAACACAGTAATATATATATAGTATATACATATATAGGGATGTATTGTATTGGATTTTGCGAACAATATGCATGCTAAACAATCATCAATTTCATTTTCTAAATTTATCACGGATTCTAACATCTACAAGGAAATTGCGGAAATGTCTTCACTAGCCTTTAGATTGAAAATAACCTTTTGACTTGAATTTAAGTAATCATTAAGGCGATTAATATTTTCGTTAATTATTTGTATATTTTATGAATACACACATACATACATTTTAATTTTGACTAAATTAAATGAAAGAGAATTACATAACAAAGTTATAATCAGTTATTTTTGTTTGTCCTTTTTTACTATGCCATTATTTTAATTGTATCTTTCCTTGTATTTTGTTCATGTCTTGCGATATAGTGGGATCGTCTTTGTTAAATAAAGTTTTTTTTTTTTTTAAAGAACGAAATATTTACTACACTGTCTTGTATTGTGTTTGAAGGTCAGTGAAACTGATGTTTATTCGGGTCCAAATAACGATGTATTGTTTCGCTATTGAGAGTGGTTCTAACGCTATAAAGTGTTTCAATACAAGGGTAACAAAGTAAACCAAACAAAACATAGAAATTTCTACATTTTAAGGAGTTTTTCGTTAAATAGAAGTTCCTTATATAGTTTACATTGTATTTACAGCATTAAACGACATTTATTTATTTTTATTTTTGTTAAAAACTTCACAGAAAAAATATTTACAAGCAAACTAGTTTTTTTTAATGGGTGATAATGGAATGGTAACCCCAGCCGCGCTATCGGTATACACCGGCGGGGCACCAGTGAAGGATGATAGGTGAGGATGAAGCAGGTCAGTTAGCCCATCGTGACGAATTCAACAAGAATTGTTCACGATGGTTTCCAGGAGGAACCACGTGGAGGTCGACATAATAGGACATATTGCTAACAATGGGGCTGTCAAACTCCATTGCTAACAATCCCTTTCCCCCCAAGCAAACTAGTTGTAGTGTATTCACTAACAGCTTATCATTCTTGTTATGTATGTATGAAGATAATGTGATTACTGTCCACAAGTATATAGTTTTTTCAACTGTTTGTTTGATTGTGTCCTTATAATGCCTAAACTGCTTAACCAATCACTATGAAATTTAGTATATACATACTATATGGAACGGAGAAAGATATAGGCTACTTGTATCCTGGTCAATAAATACATTCCGGTCAAGTAGATCGTCATAGTCGTAGAATACTGACGGATCTGACAAATATTACATATAAAGATCCGTCAGTATTCTATATACGAGATAGGTTAAAAGCTATTTAGTTTATACTTTTGTCAGGTGTTCTACACGAGCAGCTTGTGGGTCAACTATAATAAAAAAAACTTTAAATGCTCTTCGAGTCCAATATAATAATGCTTTCAGGGTACTTTTGAGGCTATCCCGTCACCGTAGTGCGTCACACATCGTCATAGTTGTAGAATACTGACGGATCTTTCTATGTAATATTTGTCAGATCCGTAAGTATTCTACGATTATGACGACATGTTTGCACGAGAGCGTACGGATGATTTTTACGCAATACGGCGCAAACGAATTGTTTCGCTGTTGGGTAGGGTGCGTGTTAGCTCAAACAGTGTCCTGAAGACAATTGCTGGTTGCTGTCCCATTCTAAAATATTGGGTGGGACAGGTTATCAATGCAAGAGCGTCATGATCGCTCATTTACTAACATAGGTTAAATAAATTTATAACTAACAAAATTCACTCTCATTCATAAAAAATATCTATGTATATTTGAATGTACATCTTTTTTATTAAAAAATATTCGAAAACGCAAAAAAAATCTGGTTATTGGTTTAAATTAAAAAGGGTATAATTTCTTTATTTTTTAATATCAGTGCAGATACCATTTGTGTATTAGATTAGTAAAAATACATAATATATTCTTTTAAATTACAGAGCCGTTATTTACTTCTTGCTATTTGGATTGCAATCTGGTCCGTTCCTGGAGTTGAACAATTCGGACACGCCCCCGATGCACTGCTGCAGCCATGACCCCCAGCAGGTCAGGGACGAGGTGGAAGTGCTCAGACAGGATTTTAATCTTCGAGTCAAAAAAATACTGTTCAATTCCATTGTGGGTGCATACTACACGAGCTTTATACCTTGTTGTTTTGCACAGGTTAGTTGTATTACTACTATATTACTAACCTATGACTGTTTTCCAATTTAGAATTGACAGGAAATCCACTCCCGTGAGTGGATTTCCTGTCGATGACGAGCTGTACGATGATTGAAAGTGGCTATGTATATCATATTGAACAATTCCTGTGAGCACAATCCGTAGAATAGAGACAATGCACCGCCATTTACTCTCTCTGTTTAGCTTAACGGTTGACTGGTAGAGAATGCCATCAGGCATTAAGTCCGCACTGTAGACATATTTTAATGTGTGCAAAAGTATAAATAAATATTTTTTGTTTTTATACAACTTAAAATGGCAAACGAGTGATAGAAAACGGTAACCATTGCCTATAGATATGGACATAACAGAGTATACCATGTCACCCATGATACCCTGCATGCGTTGCTATTTTTGAGGATTAAGGTGTTATGTCCCTGTACTCTGCAATGTCATTACCATTCCACCCTTCAATTTCTTTTTTTCTTCATGGGCGAAACTCTTATGTCCATGGTACTGCTCATGTCTATAGGCGACGGTTACCACTTCTCATCAGGTGGGCCGTCAGCTTTTTTGCCATTCTAAGTTGTGTAAAAAAAAATATCAAAATCCATTGAATAGTTTTTAAAACAAAATCGCCACTATTGAAGTTTATTTTTTTTTTTTGTGGAAGAAAATCTAAAATAAATATTATTTATATAGCTTTAATCACTTCCCTTTGAAAATGATGACCGAATCTGTTTTGTGTATGTAGTCGTATTTGTACTACGACGTGTACGGCGCGTCGCAACAAGTGGCGTTCGTGTGGGGCGGGCTGTTCGGCCGCTACGCGAGCCAGCTGCTGCCCGCCACCTACTGCGACGTGGGCCACCGCGCCGCGCTGCATCTCGGCCGCTGGCGACTGCACTCCACCTGCACAGGTCACTAATAATAAGGCATAATTGTAAACATTTAGATTTGAGCCAATTCAGAAGAGTTCATTTTCTAAATTGGCCCAACCGGGAATCAAACTTGGCACCACTATGTTGTGATGTTCATCACCATGCTTTTTGTCAATGCAATTTTTAATATCAAACAAGGCGACGGTCCATGTGATGGAAATATTTATAATATTATTTGATATGATATTTACTATGGTAAATTTAATTTTTCATGTAATGTATATTTGCCACCGCTGCCCTCAGACACTTTGTGTTCACTGCTTTTACCTAACGGTTAGCTGGTGGAGAATGTCCTACAGTATTGAGTCCGCCATTTGTACAAATTTAATTGCGTATTAAAGGGTAAATGAATGTATTGTGCAGAGGGCGCGTGCGAGGCGCGGGCGTGGTCGGGCGCGGCGTGGTGGCCGCGGGGTGGTCGCGCGGCGGCGGGCGGCGAGTTCGCGGCCGCCGCGCAGCCTGCGCACGCGCAACACACGCGCTTCTACGTGAGTACTACGATCAACATCGATATAAAGCCCCGATATAGTGGGGGAAAGAGATTACTAGTAATGAGGTTTAACAGGCCTATTGCTAGCAATACACCCTATCAGGTCGACCTCCTGGAAACCATCGAGCTGAATTAGGTGTATTCATCATGGTGGGCTAATTGACCTGACATTTTAAAAATGTTGTCTGTTCCCCTGTCTTTATGTTTGTTAGAGTATCATGAACAAACTACGGGACCAATTGAATGTGATTTTTCATATTTGTGTTCCTAAAGGTCTAACTTAAAATCTGATATATGCTTCATCTTGATACTCTATTTAGAATTAGTCTATTTTTCTACTTCTGAAATACATGAGTACAAAGTAGTTGGCAAAAAAGCTAATATATTATATTGAAATTTTAATAATTATAGTAAATTGATACTCTAAGTAAATAAATATATTATGTATTTAGCGTTATGGCATAGTGCCAGTGATAAATCCCTAAAACCATAGAAAAATTCTTACAGATTAATTTAAACATTTGATTGCGATCAAGTATCAGTTATAATTACAAGAGATACTGTAAACATTTGAAATCGCACTACTACTTGCTTAAATATAGTGTTGTGGCAAATGGTCCTAACAAAATCAAGCCATAATAGTTTATTGTTATTGCCAAAATGTCAGTTGTCACCTACAATATGTTACAATACACAGAATATTGGTTAAAGTTAACTGGAAAGGTATACTTTTACCATCAAGTCCACCTTGTACACATACATGTACTAATGAATAAATAAATAAATATAATTTGTACAATTAAACCTAATTAATATATATTTTATTGCAGTCGGTCTTCATAAACCCGTCGGTGCTGCTGTGCATGTTACTGTGCCTGCAACTGTCGCTGATTGTGCTGCAGCTATGCCTGCTCTTCAGCAACATACAGTGGCATAACTTCCTCTCCGTAGTCATACTATTATTCATAAACTACTACACACTCTTCAAGATGATGCGGGATTATCTGATCGCGTGGAAAGTCTACAGAGCCGAGAGCATGATACAGGATAAGAATGGGCCCGTACAAGGCAATTAGTGGATATGTTTAAATGTACTTCCCTAACGCACAAACATTTCGAATGTCGTAACAATTATTTCACTGTATCTCGAGGGTCTAGTCTTTTCCAAACCCTAAACATTCCAGCTTGGATTGTAGGCACACAAGTAATAGAACAGAGTTCGCACTTAACAGAGGGGAATTTACATACAAATTATCGCCCTTTAAAATAATAACCTGGAATAGTTAATTTTAAAATTTCGCGTTGTTTGTGTATATTTTAAATACACTATCGGGACTTAAAGCGATGAAAAATTTTTTGCAAGTGAATAGTACCTACATACCTGCGTCTTTATTGCCGTCGTTTCGACGTGGATTACACCACGTAGTGGTCATGTCGGGACAAAGAAAATTACCTGCATAATTCTACCTGCAAAGAATTTTTTATCGCCTTAAGTCCAGATAGTGTATTTAAAATATGAATAACTTGGAATGTTTTACTTTATTATTTTCTGGCCTGATAATAAGATGAGAAGTTAAAAGAACTCAAAGCCGAAAAAAATATAATTATTTATGGTACAAAATAAAAAAAAAATTGTAACTACATTTAAACAAATGTTTGAGAATTGCATCTCAAGTCGGTTAATCACCATGAGGGAAGATGGCTACTAGTTAAGACAGTTGGAGAAGACCTTTGATAAGAAGCAAACAAACAGTAGTAATTAAGTAAACAGTATAATAAATTGTAAAAAAAAAATGTTATGTAATGTCTGAATAAAGGCTAATAAAAAAATTTATTGCTTAAAAAACTATAAATTATTAATGCTCACCCCTAAGCCAAGCTCTGATCTGGCTATTTTGCCATTCCGCCCAAAACAGGAATATTTTACCGTCCTTTATAATGAATAACCATATTAACATATTAATTTATTGCTACTTGTACAACAATTAGTCCATTGTACTAAGTTTATATTGAAAAGTTTGCTTTCAGCAATAAGACCGCCTTATTGTACTTATACAACCCTATATTGTATAATTCAAATAAAATATACTCATTCATTTATTAACTGTTAGTGAATTAATTTTGGACCAGTATATGTTGGTAGTACAGGCAGATTTACCATTCCATTTTCATCTTATTAATAAAAAGAACTCATTTTCTAGACATTTTTCAGGCTAATGCACCACAGTTAAGACCTTGCCCCAAGGTTACCTACTAGGTGCCTGTTTTACTTTGTATTACATTTACTTGTGTGCTGCAAATCTATCCAAGAAAAGTCATTGTCCTGATACATTATTGTACTTAATCATTTTGGAAATTTGTGCACTTGAATAAGTTAAGAATTTGATTTGAACAAAGCTCTTGTTATGTGAAATTTTATAAGACTGACATTAACTAAGCTATTCCTTGTTTACGATCTGTTTTCCCAAACTTCATTATCAAATAAAACAAAAAAAAATATATTTTTATTTAATAATTGTCATAAAATTTATTTGTGTAACTGATAAAATAAACTTAATTAAATTGTATACTTGCCATACATAAGGATTTTTATTTGCTACAATATATTCATTTATATATTATTGCAATTTAAAATAACTTTGTATCTGCAGAATATGTTTCTCTGTGCAACTTTCTAATAGCACAGTCATCAGTCTCATGATTATCCTTAGGTACAAAGTTACTGTAATAAAAGAATAATTATCCAGGTAGAATTGACAGTTTCATGAATTCAATAATAATTCAGTGTTTTTGATATCTGATTCAACTTGTAAGATATACAAGTATATAGGTATATAATAATATATACATGTGTAGTAGTTTTTGTTTACTTCGGGTGGCTAAATTCATTTATATGTAAATAAATTGATGACAACCCTCTCCATCTCCGTGGGGTCTGATTAAAGGGAAAAAGTTTACTTTTTGTTAGTATTGCCACATTCACAAAGGAAAATATGTATATGAATGTCACATCTAACAAGACTATTTATTTTATAGTAAATTATTTAATATAAAATGTCTATAAAAATAATATCATTTAATAGAAACCCATGAGGAGCCTTTATTACTATCATTCACTTGTATTTTGTGAGATTTTAACTTATCTCTAACAATGTCACAGGCAGTTAACAAGTCCTTGTCTTTTTTTGTGAGAGCATTCAATCTCACTGTATGTCGGAACTCAACTAATGTATCGATCAGTGAATTTGATACCACACTCTCTGCTGGTTCTTCTAATATCAAACCGAATGTGGTCAGAACTCTTGTTACATATTCAGCGGTTAACAGCACAGGAACAGGGTAATAGCCTCCTGTGTCAGACTTCAAAATTTTATTTACACTTGAAACTAATGTCTGCAAGTTGCTAACACAGGTTGCTGTATCAAAGTCAGTTTTCAATGCTTCTATATTAGCTTCCTCAACTTTTTGTAATTTATCCAGTAGCTTATAATCATAATCTGCATGATCAGCAGAATTAATGTTAACATATCTATAAGCATCTTTGAAGAAAAACTTGAATTTGTTCAAGACATCCTCTGCTGTTTTCATTAGTTCTAGATTATATTCCATTGGATATCTGTAGTTTGAAATTAGACATGCCATTCGGAATGTATCAGCACTGTATGACTCCAAAAGTGTTGGTATAGATATAGTATTTTTAAGAGATTTTGACATTTTTTCATCCCCTTTGACATGTAAATGACCAACATGGATCCAGTAATTGGCCCATTGTCTCATATTATGAAATGCACAGGATTGAGTTTCTTCATTTTCATGATGTGGGAACTGAAGATCAATTCCCCCTGCATGGAAATCTAATTGTGATCCAAACACCTTACTAACCATTGCTGAACATTCTATATGCCATCCTGGCCTTCCTTCTCCCCATGACACATCCCAACTGGGTTCACCCGGTTTGTGACCTTTCCATAATGCAAAATCCATATTGTTTCTTTTATGATCACTATTTGGTTCTCCAGATTCTTGTGCTCTTTGCAGTTTTCCATATGAAGGATATTTGCTTGTATCAAAATAAACAGATCCATCAGAAGCAATATAAGCCATATTGGAGTCAATCAGCTTCTTAATGAAACTCTCTATGCAAGTGATATGCTCTGAGACTCTAGTAATTATTAAAGGCTTCTCAACATTAAGGCTAGACATATCAGCCCAGAACTCATGTTCATACTGTTTTGCCACAGTTCTAAAGTCTGTGTTCGTCTCCTTGCCTTTTTTAATAATTTTATCATCGATGTCAGTTATGCCCATGGCTGTGATGAGTTTTATATTGAAGAATGACTTCAATATTCTTTGCACAATATCCAGTTTAACATAGCAGCTTGCGTGGCCAATGTGAGCTGAATCGTAAACTGTAGGACCACAAGAGTACCACGTAGCGACGTGCTGATCACTCAATATTACAGGTACGCGTTGGTCTGCTACACAGTTATATATATAAACACCAGTGGGATTACCATTGGGCATCAACCATTTCGTGTCTTTGTAAGGTTTTAAGTTACAAACATGAGATAGTTTCCTAGTAAAGACAGGCAATAGCTTCATTTTTATGTCCTTATCTAAGTAAGCGTTGTAAATGTAACAAACACTGATAAATAACAAACAATTACATTTCACAGAATAAGTTATCGCTTTGTTATCGTAACTGAAAAATAGAAAACAGCTGATTTTCGGAGCCTGACAATCTGTCAATGTAAATTTATAATAATTTGAAAATCACAGATTGATAAAGTATATTATTGACAATCACGATGTATTATAATTTACATTGAAAGATTAACTTCTTTAATTCATAAAAATTAAAGCTAGAAACCTATTTTAATTATTGCAGTTTATTGTTACACTTTCTTTCAAATTGGAAATTTAGCACCAAAGAAAGAGACAAAATAGCTCAATAGCTAAAATAAATTAATGAGAGGTTTGACGTTTTTATGCATAAGAGAATAAATTATTAAAACCATGTTTAAACATCTATCGTAAACATATTAGATTCAGTATAATGAAAATTGTACAAAAAATCTCCGACTACTACAGTCTACAGAACGTATTCTTTATCTATGTGTTACTCTATTATGAGTTAATGTCAGTGCCATTATTATGTCACTTTGTTTTGATTTTGATCGAATTGCTCAGCTGAGTTATTCAAAAATATTCTTTTGATTTCTGTAATAGGTATCTATTTAAAGTTGTTTTTAAATTATTTGTAAATTATAAAGTTATTACCTTTAAATTACAAACAAAAAAATGGTTACATTTGCACCTGATGAAGTGGGTTTACAAGATAAATCGCCTTGTGCAGGTATCAGAGCAGATCTTAAAATGTGTTTACTAAATAGTGATTGCTGTAGAAAGGTAAATGTTCTGTAAACATAAATACAATTATTTATCATTATCATAGTATATAAAATTAATCATATGTTCTTTCACTAGATTACAAAAACAAAGAAAATATCTTTTCACTTTTTTATAACAAATCTAACCCTTATTATTTCAGGAAAGAAAGACACCTCGCGAATGTCTTAAAGACGGAGTAGTTCCTGACGAATGTATTCAATTAAGGCAGTCATTCTTTGAATGTAAACGATCGCTAGTAAGTATCCTCTTCTTCTTTTATTAATCTTGATTTTACCACAAAAACTACTCAACCGATTTTAAAAATTCTTTCCCTCATAGAATGCTACATTCTTATGTACTTTATTTAAAAAAAAAATGAGATTCCCACACAAAGTACAATAATGTAACCAAGGTATTTACTTTGACTTATAAAGCTAATAATATAAAATATGAGTTTATCTTGTTATACATGTGTGAGGCCAGGGTACATCACTAATTACTTTTATAAAACTGTATCATATATGTTATGTATATTGTGGTGTTGCTATAATTTATGGTTTATAGTCCAAATCAAAAAGTTTGAATAGTTCTTTATAGTTTCTATTATTACTAATTGCATGAGGGGAATAACTAACTGGTGTCAAGTGGTACTAGCACAAAATTTACTATTTTGTGAAAAGTGTTTCTTATCCTTCTATCTATATATATATATTTGAAATACAGTGCAAACTAATAAATTCTTTATTATTGAAAATGAAATGTAACCAAGAGGAGAGTCGATAAATATATATTCTCTCTTGTTATTTACATTGACAGAGTAACATGAGATATATATTACACCAACCCCAAATAATTATTTAGATAAGGGTAGGAAGAAAATGATGATTTACATGACAAACTTTATACCATGTTGAATTCAGTTAGTACAAAATGTGAAATTTGAATTTGGAATATATGTTTATAAGTTATAACATACTTTAGTAGCAACAATATTTTAGTAGTATTTTTATATTACTGAAAGTGTACATTTGTTTCAGCTTGACAATAGAAGAAGATTTAGAGGGCATAAAGGTTATTAGAATAAGTTTATTTTAATGTTTAATGATATTACATTAATGTTATTGTTGACTATGTAATAACAGTGAAATAGTTTTAATAAATGTTATTTTAAAGAAATATGATTTTAATTAACTAATTTTTTTGTTATATTTTTTAGATTTATAAATGTTTAGGTAATAACTGTGTGTGCTAAAGATAATATTATAAAAATAGACATATAGTCTTTTTTTATAATATGTATTACATATATAAAGGTGTATTTATACTATGGTGGTAAACAAGCAAATTGCTGGTTAGAAGGTAAAATATTAAAAAATCATAGACTTTGGATGCCTGCAATACCGGGAGTGTCACATAAAGGTATCAGACTCTAGAAGTATTTTACCAACTGTTGCCATTATGACAATTAACACTGAATCCAGCTGTCATAAACACATAAAAATGTAATGTGAGCCCACTATCTGTCATGGTAATTAGGTTTCTTAAGTGTTTACTGGAGTTGAAACCAGATTTGAATAATTTAATCATTTTAGTACTAAGTCTCTTCAAGGTCAAATTGATAATATTATGATAATAGATATTATTAGAGTTTCCACAGATCTGCAGCTAGCAGGACATTAATAAAAAATTACGATTTAGTAGACTTTGTAAACAAATCTATTTTAAAAAAAATAGTTGAATTTGAAGAATTTGGCATGTACACACTTGGAAGATTTACATATATTCTCCCCCCTCTCTCTCTCTCTATCTCTATATATATATATATATTTACACTAAAATATACAATATTATTAATTCATTGATCCAGCGATCCCAGGCTAATATGATGATGGGTATTATGATAGCTTAGTTAGACATTGCTTTTTTGGTCTGGGAATCTTAGAATCAAATTTCAGTCTAAAATTCTAAATATTCATGTTTGGATTATTTGTAAAACACATCAGAGGCAAGGAAGGCGTTTGGCACCAGAGGGAGCCACTGTGGAATGAATTTACGAAATATAGTACGGATTGTACGTGAAAAATTGTACAGGTATAATCACATGCAGGTATGAAATAAAATTTCCAACGCTTGTTGATTCGCATTTTATTATAAAAATAATTGAAATTTAATTAGATTCTCTATACAATCTTTGTAGGAGCTTAGCCCATTTCGCAAACTAGCTTTTCAAGCTAAGCAACCAATTGTTAAATGTAATTATATTATCTTACATTCTAATTTAATACAGTTGTCTATACAATTTACCTATTTGATTAAAATAATATACAATACAGTAAAATCCACATACAGCGACAGTTGAAAGTTAAAATTTTGTAAATGAAAATATAACAAAAAAGGCGAGTCTTCTAACGGCACTAAAAATATCTTCGGTTAATACAAATAAGTAAATATATGTTCATAAAGATAGAAGATGCTCTTTAAATCTGCTCTTAAAAATATTTAGAGATTGACTCACGGATAGGCATAGGAAGAGAGTTCCACAATCTAGTAACATGGACGGTAAAGGATCCGCTATAGCGGGTAGACGAGTGAGGAGGGATTTTGAGGATAAGAGACTTCATAGAACGAGTAGATACGTCATGGAAATCAAATCGTTGATGAAGATAGAATTGTTAACGCAGCGTAATCAAGAATAGGTAACAGTAGTAGCGATTGTGTCTACTTTGTCATAAATGCTCGATTGTTGTGCAAGTCGATGTAAATAAATTTCACTGTATTTCCCAACCAGGCACACGTTAATGAAATATGTCCTAATTTATATCTATATGTTATTCTTATTCTCGGGTTATCATTATTGTTTCTACTCTATATTTTAATGTTAATTAACAAACATAGGTACCCGAAAGTACGTACAAAAAAATTGTCCTTTATCATCGATCACTTTGAGAGGTAAATTTTAGACAACTGTAGAACACTTCAACCAGGTATTTCTTTTTTAAATCTATTAAAATTTATTTATAATGGAATTTAAATAATTTCTTTCAGCTATTTTCATTCGAAGCTTTTTAAATTTGGATGTTCAAAACCTTCTACAAAATGTATAAATTTACAAGCGTAATTTTTTTTTTTTAATAAAAAAAGCGATTTCTTTTGTCCATTATGATTTTACTATTTGGTGTTAAATTGCATTTTATTGGCAAAACATGGGAACAATGTTGTATTATGATTTATAATCAGTTACTTACAACTAAAACAATAACAGGGTCTCTAAATAGTATGACTGCAAACTACAAACCATTTTATTACTAACTATAAAATTGACTAGATTTAGCACCACAGCAACATAATCGACCCAAGTAGGTACATAGCTCTACTCATAGTATTCATCTACCATTATTTGTGCATTAAATGGTTCATTTTTAAGTGTAATAAAACATGAATTATTATTTTAAATATTATTATTTAAGTATCACTGATAATACTTAATTCTTTTTAATTCTTAAATATTAAATATCCAACAAATTGAAGGGATCAAGTCTTTTAATAAATCATTTTTAATTAAAATCATTATTAATTAATAAGTCTAAAATAATTAAATATACAATTTTAAACTTAAAAAATAAGTGATTAATTTTAAATAATAAATTAATTAGAATTAATTTATTATATTATGTTAATTTCTTTATATTTTTTAAATAATCATTTAATATAAATTAAAGGATTAATTGACTTTATATTTCTATTATATATATAAATTATAAATAAATTATATTTAATTAAAAAATATTAATATGATTAATATTGTATGTATGTGTACAATTCATACTATTATTTATTTATTATTAGATTTGATGTACAGTGTTATTAATCTATACTAAAATTATGTTTGTTCAGTGTCATATATATTTATTATGATCCATTAAATGCAAAGTAGGGTTCTAATAGTATTTTACTTTTAACGTATCGGATTTTGTAAGTATATTTAATATTTTTTTACAACAATACTGTTAAAATGTGAGACCCTCGTCTTTTATAAGTTAATTAATTTTAATTAAGAAGTCTACGTAACAGCTGACGAATGAAACAAATAATTAATTTGTAATTTAAACAATAATTCTGGAATAAATAAATTTATATTTATTAATTTTACAGGCAATTCATCATAAAGATAAAAAATTGTTGAGTTCGAATATTAAAATATTAAAATCTCATATGGAATTTACTTGATTCTTTTTACTTCTTCTTTTCATTTAAGAGTTTCCTCTTGTCGGTGCAACTAATTCATGCATTCATTTTTTTACTTAGGTTGGTATAAATTCAAAAAATATCTATTGCGATGATAATGGCACGGGCTTATAAAATAAACATTATAGATCTCTGTATCTAAGTAATTGTCGTAATTAGCTTTAATTTACTTAGGTACATAATAGTACAGTTGTTATCAGTTTGTAGAAAAATTATAGATTTTTTTTGGGTTTATAATAAGAAAGAGGGAGGTAGAATCTAGTAGTATTAACTGTGAAGGACAAACCTGTGACCTACTTTTTGACTACTTAATAATATTTATTTATTTATTCTATATTGTATTATAAAACTTGTACACTGATAAACGTGAATATTGCTAACTGATCATGCTGAACCCTTTGGTATTGAATATATTACAATATATTTTATAGTACATGCAAAATGGCGTCCATTACAAAATGGCGGATTACCATTTTCGATTTGAATAACAAATGAATAATAATATATTTTATAATCACCAATATCAATAATAAATTATTATTTACTGAAATAAAGTATTATAAGTACATGTTATTTGGCTTCGAAATCAAACACTTGACAATTAGATAAGCGAATTAGATATAGCTGTACATGTACATACACTTATCACTTCGTACAATATAGATTTTATATATATACATAAATATTTATATAATATGTTATTGATCAGTAATTATTAAAACGTAATTACTGTAAAAGTATTATAATGTGATTTATGTTAGCCATAGGTATTTAAAAGCCACTTCTATTTAAATAATTAATGTATTGAATCACAATGTGTTTAGGCATATAATGGTTGGTCGAGTTCTTTATAATAATGATGCTTATCATGTACAGTCAGTACCAGAAGTCGAAGAACACATCTATATTTCAGAAATTAGGTATTTAAGGCCTGGAAAGATGACATCTGAGATATAGTGTCTAATTCTGAGGCGCCATTTGTCTTAACCTATCTCTTAAACTTATTTTGATAACTTCGACAAATTATTGTTTTGTAGACTAAAATTATTTTATTTTATTTTTGTAGTATATAACTCTATAGACACTTTCTCTTTTCGAGTTCTCAAAGTTGACTGGAAGAAATCTTTTTAAGAGATAAGTCCGCCTGTGTACATTTTTCTTATAACCTATTATCTATAACCCTTTGCACTCCGTCGTCGCCGTATTTACGACATTAAAATGGTAACATTAAATCCACTGTCTTGGCTACGGCGACACTGTTTTACTAACTCAGCGCCCTTTATAAAATAGCTAAGAAACAAATGTTTTGTTTTATTGCAACGACTCCATTTTTATTTTACATCACAGGTATGTACTTGTAACTAATATAGTGCTGGAGTGCAAAGGGTCAAGAGTGTACATGTACTTAAAGCATATCATCTTCCTACCCTTATCCCAATTATTGTATGGGGTCGGCGTAATGTTTTTATCCATATTACAAAAAGATTTGGCTTTTAGTATTACGACCGGTCGCCTGCTTGACGTCAACCCTCTTTGAGAAATATGTACTTAAAGCATAAATAAATAAATAATATTATAACAATTTTGACTTAAAACTGTTAGGAAATGTGTTCATATTGATTCTTAAATCAAAGATTTCGCTGTTATATCAAATTAAAATTCTAATTTTAGAGACAGGATTAGAGAAATAGCGCTGATATGATAGGTACACCATTAAATATATAAATAATTGTTCTATCCCTTTTAGACTCAAGATTTTTTCTTTCAGATTAAATATATTTTCGTGTTTTGGAGCCAAGCCATCTTGCCGGCACGCACGAGACTACTGCGCAACCTAACCGCTAAAATGATTTCTTAGGCTGGTTTAGAATCTCACTATCTTGTTATTTCAGCTTCGTGCGTAGTTTTAGAATTTTTTAAAGTTACAACTCACGCCCGTATCGTTCAGGTCTGGAAGGGCTATGTATAAAAAATATCCATGTAATTTTGACTTTTTATAATGTGAAATGTTATTGAGTGCTTATTTATGTAATGATAAATCTATACAGGCTTTAAGGATTTGGATGTGTTAATCGACTTTTGTTTTTGACTGTACGTAAAAATTGTAGTAACTGTAAAGATATAACTAAATATTGAAACAGTGTAGAAATAATGGTCAAAAATATATCCCACTAAGTTTATAATATTTATTTGAAATTCTGAAAATATAAGAATAAAATACTCTGTCATATTTGAGTGGAAAGCTGTGGGGCTACCATGAAATGAATTTCCAAATTTTCGGACTCAATTTCGTGTTTTTCATCATATCGAAATTGGCCCAATAAATGGATCTTAACATTTCGTTTGTTATAACTGCTACCATAATAGTCCAAATAAACGATATTTTAACATATTAAAATTTTTTTAAATGGTATGTATTATGTAATTTTAACATCAAATTTGTTTCGTTCGGCTTCGAAATTTTGGAAAATAATTTATGGTAGGCCCTCTAATTTTAAGATATATTAACTAAACGCTTAACGAGCAAATGTTTGTTCTTTTCCTTTTCTATTAATTTTTGTTAATTGTAAATTAAAGTGCTAAAATTAAATATATTCGTACTACGTTTACATACATAAACGGATTTTGTTACTACATTCACGAACCAAATATGTACATTGTTTATTTTAGTCTATATTTATTTTTATATATGCGTTAGATTCATTGTTAAGGTGAAAGTAGACAAAGTGATTGACGAAAATTCGTTCTTCTCCTCCAATATGATTTTTTTTAAACGCCTTGATAAGTGCTTTTTCAGCTGTGTTCGCAAACAATTGTGTGTCGTTCGTAAGGTTCTAATTCCACCTTTCCACGCGAATACTCTACGCGGCCTCGAATAAATTCTATGTTATCTTAAAAGTACAGTTTTGCATTCAGTGATAGGTCATATAAAAAAATAGAAGTAGAAGAATAAATTATACGTAGGAGTTAATAGATATTGAAAATGCTTTAATTTTCTTTATAATTAGCGTATTTTATATCATTATAGATAATATGTATTGTTTACACTTATTCTGTAATTTATGTATCTGTAATTGGTAGTAGATACTTGTAAGTAGAGATGGGTAATATATAGTTATATTGTTGTTACAATAACTATATATTGGTCTTATAATCGAATATAGCAAATATCAGTTATCCACCAAAAAGCAGCCTCACTCTGCGTGTTCTACCGCTTGTACAACGGATTGTGCTCAGAGGAATTGTTCAATATGATGCCCACAGCAACTTTCTACCATCGTACGGCTCGCCATCGACAGGGAGTTCATCCTCATGTCCTACAGCCTCAATGGTCGCGTATTGCGCGGTTTCAGAGATGTTTCCTCCCACGAACACTCAGGTTGTGGAATGAGCTCCCTGCCGAGGTTTTCCCAAGAGTCTACAGCATGGGGTTCTTCAAAAGGGGAGTAAAGAGGTTTCTTCAGGGTCGGCAACGCGCGCGTAATACCTCTGGTATTGCAGGTGTTCATAGGCTACGGTAATCACTTACCATCAGGTGGGCCGTATGCTCGTTTGCCACCTCAGTGGAATAAAAAAAAATCCAATATATGGTATAATATTGAAATGTAGCACCTGATGCAAATGATTATAAGATATGCGACCGGTGTGGGCCATATTGAAGTGGATGACGGTGTCCGCCGTCAATATATAGTGGAACCCAATATATAGATATCGGAACGATATCGATATTACCCATCCCTACTCTTGAACAAAAATCACTCAATATATAAATATTGAGTGATTTTTGTTACTGAAAATCTTGCATGTATTTCATTGTAGCGGTGTTTGTTGATACGTCTATTTTTATATGCTAAACACACATCATCTGTCTATCATTTTAGTAAGATATGTATTATAAGATATGTGAGGAACTGGCAGAAAAACGGGAAAATATAATTAGGTAATGAACAAATTATAGAATTATTTTGTTTATTTCCGCTACCATTAGTAGCGGAAATAATTAGAAGATTTATTAGGACTATTAATTCGAATTATTTAAACATAATCTAATCAATAAATCAGTAATATGGACCTTCGCAAAATAACAATAAAAATAACAAAACAACAACTAGTTCAATTAAGAATTTAGTATGAATTATGTTCATATTTTGTACTAAGATCGCTCGGAAGACATGCGATAAATAATACCACTATGCTATCAAAGTGGCTGGAATGACGACGATGACAATCATTACTGAGTAAAGTCATTAAAAAATCACTTAGAAGACAACCGTTCTTGATCTCAGTTAGGCTAAATATAAATACCTAAATACATCTTTTTTAACGGATTACCCTCTCATTCATAAACACTGAAACTTTAAAAAAACAATTTAAATTTTATATAGTTATGTTACTTTCTATCAAATTTGGAATTTAAAGCTAATATAAAAAAAAAAACACTTCAATAATTAAAATAGTTTTTATTGATGAATAAGGGGATTAATTCAAAAGAATCTAAAATAGTCAAGTTTCCTGTCAATTCTTAGTTGAATCTGTTTATTGAACTGGATTCAAAGATATTGCACTAGTAGTTTCCAGGTTTCCAAATGGGCAAGCCACCAACCCACCAATAGACCAAGAATTGGCCGAAGGAACGTGGGGAGACAACCCATGCGCTGGGCAAACGATATAAATAGAACGGTGAGCAAGACTTGAATGCGTATGGTGAAGGATCGGATCATCTGGCGAAATCATGAAGAGGCCTATACCCAAAAATGGGTGAACCCGAGCTGAAGTAGATAGATTGAAGTGGACGTAGAGATAGAAAAAAATGACGTTCATAATTAACCAAAAAATTTTAATTTTTTCATCGTCATCGCAGCTACTTTTGTTGTTGATTGTAGAGCGAATACAAAAGATATCACTTTCTGGTCTCTATACGTAATGACACTTGCGAACTTCGAATGAGTTTCAACACTGAGTTTTAACCATTTTAGCGTATGGTTTTACCTAATAATAACCGTTAGGTTAGTTAAACCAAGTTTTTTTTTTGGCAGTGCTATATAAACTCCAATTAACATATTTACTTTTTACTGCCATTAGTGTGACAAAATAATATAAATAAAAAAAGAAAGAATTGGTAGAAAAACAACAATGGTTGTACTATATCGACACAATTTACTGTAGAGCGGCACAATATCGTACTATTATATCGTCACGATATAATAGGTGAGCAAAATATATGCAAATGTATGGAGACGCTTTTAAATTTCCATGGGCATCTACGAAATTGTCATGTCCTACACGTTCATTATTTTGTCGTGAAAATATTAAATATATTTGTATTTTTTTATTGCATACATTATGCGTTGAATTATGTTTTTAAAACTTATTCAACCAGAACTTTTCCCAACAAGTAATTGAAGGTTGTAATTTATGGCAGTAAAAAGTTAATGTAGTCAGCATCTTATAGATCCTCATCTAAATAACTAGAAACTAGGGATAATTATTAAAAATATTTACGGGCAAGCATTTCTAGTGAATAGATAAACACTCTGAATTTATTAACTTAGAAACGCTTAATCTAATTAGCAATAGTAATAGAACACGACGGTTCGAAACACACTTTACAATCAACCATACAATAACCAGCATGCTTAGATATTAAAAATTTAATACTTTGGTCCGTTTTCACAACTTGTGTCGTTCAATGACCAACTATGAATTCAGACGTCTCCTTCGCAAATTACTTCCTTTCCAAATTCAAAATATATTTAAAGAGTATGTACTAACGTTCCCATAGACTAATACATATTTTTTCAATCATAAAGCCATTTATAATGCTACCAACACAGTTGACAAAGACGTCATAAATCCTATAGAACAACACAATCACGGCCACTAAGGCCGCTCCTTTACTAGAATGTCTGTATAGGCCTGTAAAGGCCCGTGTACCCGCATAACCTCGCTCGCAACGCTGTCACCAACATGGCGGCTCCAGACAAGTTGTCCAACAAGTTGGCACACTCACAGACTAAGAGGTACATCTTGTCGCCGTGCTGGGCGACCGACTTGTGGAGGGCGATCTTCCTCATGCCGACGGAATGTGGCAAGTGGCGATACAGCATACGAGCTCCTGTCCAGTAAAGCCAATTCCTTTCGAACCGCTCGCCGTCGTCGCCTTCGAAGACCTGGAAAATAGAAATTAAGATAAATAATAATTTAATACTGTATTAAATAGTAAGGTTGTAATAATTGCCAACTCATATGCCAAGTCTCAAAACTTCCATTATGGGGTAGGCTTATGTTTAGCAGTGGACTGTTAAATGGGCTGATATGTTGAAATAGGGTTTTAACCAATAGGTTAATTTTTTTATGTTAATTTAATGAATGTAAAAGAATGAAAAACATTACTCGCATCCAGTTCTTTTTATATTACTCTGATTGTATAATATTTAATTTTTTGCGTTCTTTATTTAAAAACAAAAATCTTTTGGTATTTCTATCTACTGCTAGAAAAGATCGGGCACATTCATGCACACCTCACTTAAGTTTTAATAATATTAGCTAATGAAATTGTATTGTTAATTTTCATTCTATCAGTTTTACTAAGCTCTTTCATTCTAAGTATTTTTGTATGCTGAAGATATTGTTGCACTTTACAACTACATACATACAACATACAAGGTCTTATTCTCGGGTGTTGGACTGGGTCAAATTCATGTTAATTCAGCAGTAGCGTCGTGCCGCCATCGATTCCTTTATTTTATATAATACACATAGTATTGTTAAGTCAGTTGACGCGTATACCTAATCACAACGCCACGAGTCTCTCATCAATCATTAACAAATATATTCCTATGAATAAATCATTATTATATATTTAAATCAACATCTTTTATTAGCAGCGATTGTTCTAACAATTTTTGATTCGCGGAACCTAACTTTTTTTTATGCAACTTAGAATGGTAAACAAGCTGATGGCCCACCTGATATAAAGTGGTAACCGTCGCCTATAGACATGAGCAGTATCATGGACATAACAGAGTATACCGTTTCGTCCATGATACTCTCTATTAAACTAATTGCATAATACAATTAATATAATTGTTAACTATTAAAATAATTGCAATTGTAAGACCGTCATCTAATGCTGCAAATGAAAATCAGTGCTTTCCTTTTGAGCAAAACTGGCTCATGGCGAAACCATATTTTCGTATTTTATCTTTTGTTTATTATTTAAAAAAGTGTAAATAATTTGATTATATAAATTAATTTGTAAATTTACGTGTGTTATAAATGGCTTAAATAAAAAGTTTATCTATCTATCTATCTTTTATCCTCGTCTATCATCCCTCACTGGTGCCCAGCCAGGGTATATCAACAGCGTGAGTGAGTGAGGTTACCATTCCATTATCACCCACTAAACAAATAGCAACATGCATTTATCCATCAAAAATCTTAATACCAACCTTATAAACACTAATTATGAATCCAGTGGTAGGTGTATGTGATTTCTTCGGTCCGCCAGCTAAATCGTTAAACGGCGGCCTGCAGATCATAGCCACCTCACTATACAAGTCTAAAGTGTGCGCTGCTGAATATCTCATAGATTTTGGATCAAACTTGCTCAAGGAAGCACTCCTCATATTATTGTAGAAAAGTAAAGGATCTGATTGTGTTGTGTTTATCACATAATACGATATGAATGGGAACTCTGCGTTTCTCTCCATATTAGCTAACAGCATCCCACCGACTGCCGTGTTTGCCTGAGCCACATCGTTCAACAGTTCCCCAGCAGCTGTTTTCTGCTTCATTAAAGGTTTGGCAAGTGGCGATTCTAGTATTGGCTCTATAGGTTCTAAGGGGCTCATCAAATGAGCTAAAATACATAGTTTGGGATCCGCTACTTCGAGGATGCTCAGGGAGTTTTGGGCAGTCTTTGTTGTTATTCCTTTCTCGGGTGTTGGAGGTGGGACTGGAAGCTGAAATTGTAAATGAAAATAATGTTACCGTTGCAATATTTTTCTATTCTATTTAGAAAATGTGTTTTATCCCACATATTTATAAAATATTTTTGTTTTTTTTTTCTGGTACATTTTTTTCATCTAATAAAAACTAAACTTTATTCTCACTCCCTAGTTGATTAAGTAGAGTAGATTAAGTTACACAGACGTTACTTAGTGTTAAAATGGGACAGAGTTGTAGTCGTCTTCTTAGATAGCTTAAACCTTATATCAACAAAAAAATTATATTTCCTAAATTTATTAAAATTTACTAAATGTCTGCCATTTACTCAACCTAAACTATTTTAATTTGCTTTGGTCATGGTGTGGCTCTCAAATACTGCCCGGCCAATAACCAGTTACCTATACTTATCATCATCATATCAGCCGTTAACTGTCCACTGCTGAATACAGGCTTCCCTTTATTGGAGGGTTTTACCAGTAGTTGCAACACTTGGCAAGTAGATTAGCAATAGCAGTTAGAATTTGATGATGTTTTAAGAGGGATGTTGCTGCTCATCTCTCTACCATTAAATTCACTCAGTCATCTCTTATGACATCCATGGACAAGGAAGCGGTGGTCCATTCTATGTTTAGTGTAGTTATCTATATTGCTCTTTAAGAATTATTTAGAACTGTTCTCAACTTACCGGCACTCCATCAGGCAGAAACCGATCAAGGGCATGTGCCGGGATGACAAAGCAGTCTCTTTCGAGAGTCGCTAGTGAGACCGGCTCGGTGCGGCGGCGGTCCGCGGTGGCTGTCGCCGGCCGATCCCAGCGCATCAGCGACACGGACGGCTCCCGCGTCACGAGCGGCTGAGGAGGCTCGGGATCCGGGCCCGTTCCCGCGCCGAGGACCGGACCGCATCGTTCTGTAAACAGAACATAGAAAATTATCACACCTGTTGAGCTACTGTTCTTCTGAGTTTTGTGGTTCAGAGCTTCGAGTTGCATTACAGGTTATGTAGACGTGCAATCGTAATACATTATTTGTGGTAAAAAATATGCATGTGGATGTTCTAATTGAAAAACATTACAGGAAAATTCTACGTGGCTTTAGTTTATATCCAGTTAAAGAAGTCAAGGTTTCAGTTGCAATTTTGTACATACGAGTAGATATTTACAAAGTGATATGTGGCGAGGAACAATTTTATATCTCTAGTCACGTTTCACTCGTGTGTGTTACAACATGGTATATTGAAAACATACGACTGTTAGCAGTGTCACTGAAATAGACGACATTTAGAGCCAAAACAGTCTATCCGGTTTGCACTGGTTTTGACTGAACATGCTGTAATATTACATATTCTGATTATGATTAACTAACATCTAAAATTGCGTATCACAAACAATTCCTTGTCCGTCAGCCAGTCAAGTATTAATAGAACTTGACCGGCATGACTGGCGTGCTATTAATGACTGAACTATTAAGAACGATGTGAGTTTTAAGAAATCATGCGTTAGTACGGAGACATAGTTTTATGTAAGTGATTGTTGATAATAAGACAAGTCCGAATGATTATATTCGTCTTGTGAGAAGTCTCCAGTAGAGGCAACAACGTAGGCCACTTTGAACAACAAACAAAACAACGCGAACTTTCCGCGCGCTTTCCCCTTCACTCTCACCTGACGGTTTGCCTTCGTATCTGCGTTTATCCACTTTACCTGAGCCGTCGTTGTACTGCGCGCTGGAGCGCGGCGCCGCCGACAGGAACAAGTGTGTCTTCAGGGGCTTGTAATGATTCTCCTCCATGAAGGAGTAGCGTTCGCGATCACGACGCTTGGCATTCCTGCCCGCGCCTAGCGCCCCCCTGGCCTTCCCCCCGCCGCCGCTCGACCCGATGCTTTTCTCCCCGCTGAAGTTCTTCCGAAACATCAAATTCATCTTGGACGCTTGCCACCGGCGTTGCTGTCTCACTCGCACAATCGGAAGTCGATATATCTTTGTACCGTTCTTGTGTTGTGTCTAACACACTAATTAGTCCAATGCAGCGGGCCAAGAAATTAAGACTGGCTACATTCAGTTATTTTACGACTCTCTCTATCCACGGCTTTAAAATGGGTTTGTTTTTATTGTTGTTTCATACAGATTGGCTACGATAGTTTGGTTTAACTGTGGACCGTCGAAGAGCGGGAAATGATAAAACTTTTAACATATGCGAGGTGATTTTATATTCACTGGGTAAACTTTTAATCTTCCTTCGGGTTAGATGCAGGTGGCTGAAGGCTAACTTAGTGGCGGTAGGTTAAAGTGTGTATGTTACTAAGTTGTTTTATGTTAAATTATTTACGTGTCTGAAAGTTTGTAAAAACTTCTGGTGAACATAGGTACTTCGTTATAAGAAGTAGGACAATGTCACTTGTTGGACGTTCTATTTCCTATAAAGTATTCAAAACACTCTCATCGATTTCTGTAGTTGTAAATAACCCATATTTTTACTAATAACGATGCGATACTATTACGTTATATCCAGTCAGGTGGGCTTCGCACGTCCCTTGGAATAAATAATAAATGTAATTTAATTATAGATTAGCTGCGTTCCACAACTTTCTCTTCGCGAAAATCGCGAGGGTCTGAAATATGAAATGATTTAATTTTCCCCTTTCTAGATATTTAATGATTTAAATTCTTATTGAACAATAGCGCTAATGATTTCGACAATATTTTCGGAACTGCGAATGGGGGGTGCGTAAGAGAATTTACTATTAATGAATAAATTTTATAACATCCCAGAAAATAGATAGCTTAATAGCTTAGTATTCATACAAATCCAGTTAAATGCATAGTCTGTCTGCCTGTGGTATTTTTATCACTGTACTCCCCAACGGAAGTATCTAAATACCAAATGTTGACATTTTCGTAAGTGAATGCCGATAGCGATTGTTATTTTTTATGGAGTGGGCTTGTGGTCCGACGAACGTTATGGGCAGTATTCAACAAACGTTTACGAGATCGTAAACGTAACGGCCTTTTAAAATATTCTATAAATATGTTGTATTGATGGAGACCAAGTAAGAATCTATGTTTGATTATTAATTCTTATTTTACGATGCCGTAGGAAATTACTAACGGGATAAGATGCAATAAAACCTTGAGGGTAGGCCGTACCAGACTAGGTATAACAAGCCATATGGCCATCGGAGAGACCAGTGTCCATGAGTGCAATATTTAATTGATTATTGAAGTAAAAAATAAAATTGTTTTTGTTTTTCTATTTGATCGAAATGTGAATATTCGCAAAAATAATTGTTATTTAACAAATGGACGGACTTGAACGGAATCTAATAAGTCTAGATTAACTTGTTAGTCAGCCATAATTCCTTAGGGCATGACCACGGATTACAATAAGTTTTCTAAATAATTCCTCTAAAAATGAAATTACTAAATTGTGAAAAACAGTAAAGGTAGAGAATATGTATTCTAATTTAATTTTCTATTACTAAGTAGACGAAGTCGTAGACAAATATAAGAGTGAAAGGATAATAATATAATAGTAATAAATATTTTTCATATAAAATTCATCTTTCTTTTCAAATTTCAATGGAAAAATAAATGATCGGTAAAGAACATTTATCTTTAATCGGTAATCGACGTTGCATGTAACAGCTGTAAAAAATAAATCAGATGAACTGACAATCTCTTTATGGAAATTGTGTCTCTGTCTTTATTAAAAAAAAAAAAAAACTTCAAATCATGTAAGAATTTAAGTAAATTTATTTAAAGTTATAATACTTTGTTAGATAACGTAACATCAATGTACCAACGCTTTGTTTAAATTACATTTAAACTGTCAACCTTTTTCATAGCCGCCGTGTATCTGGGCAGTATTTCCTTGTCCGATCGTTTACCACATTTTTATGGCGGCAGTGACGTACGGGCCTCGTGAGGGCCTGCAGGCCATAAAGACATTGGAGCCTAGCTGCGACCGACGAGATAAAATATATAGGCTTGCACACACTTTTAAAAGGCCATTTTTCTTCGGACTAAATCTTTATTATGATTAAAAGATATCCATAAATTTATCGTATGATTTGAAAAGTTCGTAAATTTTTACTATAATGGATGCTACTGCAATGGAATTTGAATATATTAGAAATAATATGGATTCTATCCAATGAGATATCATTAAAGAGGTAGAGAGAATAAGAAAATATATTATTTGAATTTAGAATATGGAATTAAGGAGCTATTAGTAGATTTTGCTTAGCAAAAAGTAGTTTTTGTTTCGTATAACAACACGGAGAATTTTGCCGTTCCAAAATTAGCATGGCACGTCACAAAAATAGGGTTTACCTACACTCGAAACATACAAGTCTGTTAGATGTGCAATATTTTATGTAATGTTTTGGTACCTTATCGATCTATTAACGGTATAATCATGTAAATGCCTTAAAAAATAGAGACAAATTAAGAAAATTGTTCTTTTGAAATCGTTTAAAAATATATTATTTCAGGATCGTTATGTAAACAAGCTAATTTTAACTTAATGAAAAATTCTCAACATCACAGCGAACTTCTTACATTTTGTGAAAACAAGATTCTTACTATTGAGACTTAATTAATAGTTACTAAATAAGCTGTGTAAGGTTAACATCGGTTAAGTAAACTCTTTAAATGGTTCTTTTTCACTGGGAGCAAGCTTATGAACTCTAATAACTTTAAGTGCATTTCTCGTCGTTCAAGAACGGTTCGCAGTGATGTTGAGAATTTTTATTTTGTTGTAAGTAACAAAATTTTACGAGATAATATTTTATTGTAAAATACTTTATTTTATATTCATGTATTAATTTTGTATATTCTTTTATATATTTCATATTGCACTTTTAAATTAAATAGATAAGTCAATTATAAATGTTGTGGGCAAGGGTGGACTTATTTCTGAAAAAGTTATCTTCCAGCCAACCCGATACAGTGTACGGGTGTTGTATGAACGACATTAATACTAATACATAAGGCACAAATAAACAGTTAAATGAAATATTAATAATATATATATTGATTCATAAATATAATATTAACACAATAAATGTATGATTATATTAATCAATTAATTCAAAATAAAATAAATGAATATATTACCTACATCAGAAGTTTAGTTTGATATTTTTAAGAAATGACAGTTAGATTTGAAAGAAGAAGAAAATAAAGATTTTAATCCCCAATTTACTTTCTGGGGATAATAAATACTGTAATACACATTATTTTTTGTATATAGTGTCGTCGCCAATTTGAAATCTATTATACTCAGCTCAATCTGTACATGTCAAAGGTAATGGTCATCATAATGACAATATGAAGACCATTAAAATGGTCTCGAGTATATGGTACATTGTTAATTACCAAAATATGTTTGTAAAATTTCGATAGATAAGAATTTGATTCCTTGTTATGTTAAAAATATAAAGATAATTCATTAAATCATGAATTAACTTTCAGAGTTTCTTTTCTTTATTTATTATTTATACTTTTGCACACATTAAAATTTACCACTCTACCAGTCGACCGTTATGATAAACAGAGAGAGAGTAAATTATTTACATTATTGTTCACATTAAAATTTTTGATAATGAAGGATAAATTATTGATTTCTGGGCGCGTTACAAAAAATTTGTGAATTATATCTTTAAATGCTAATTCGCTGTCGTTCGTAACTTGTTCCACCGCGGTATGTTGCCACATTCATGTGAAGACTCGTAAACTGTTTGATTTAAAGTGGTAACACTGATCGTATGTTGTCTACATTGCGCATATATTGCTACTTACTTCCTAAGAATTGTAGGTACTCCATCTGAATGGATAAACATTTCCTTTATAGATTTATTTTTTAGTGATTTTCTAAAGGATTTTTATTTGCAATCCTTTGTGCATATA